TTAACAAAAAAAGACAATTTTTGAATCAGTTTAAATAATTGCAGCAAATTAAACACATACGTAAAATAACTCATAGATAAAAAGTAATTTGTAACGCGGTCTTCAAGATAAGCCAAAATTCTTGTAATTCAAATAATAAAAATTCTCCTGAAATTATTATTATTAAATATCCGTTTTTAATGAATCATTTTTTTCTGCACTTTCTCAATGTTGTCAAAAATATGTGATTAGAAAGCTTAATATTGATTTAATGACTCGCGAATCTAAACAAACAAACAAAATTGCGAACCGAATAATGAGTTTTTATTTAGAAATCATTTCTTCTCAAGAAAATAACTGTAGAAAAACCATTCGACAAGTAAATAGAAGTCGCAGAGCAACTTGAGTTACTCATTTTACAAATAATTAAAAATTTACGTCATATGTTGAAAGGTAAATATTTACAGAGCTTGGTAATACAGATTTTTATTTGAATTGGAATAAAAACAGTAAAGAAATGATGATTGATTCAATATAATTGTCGACGGATTTATTAAAAATATTTTTCAATCGTTTGCAAATTTTATACCAACGAAAATGTCATATGGTAAATAAACATACCGTTTTTTTTAAAATACTTGCATTAAAAATATAAATGCTATAAATTTTACATAAATCTTGGTCAAGCTGTTGTATTAAAAATATACATTACAAATATAAAATATATAATTATAAAGTCAATTGTTATGAAATTTTCTTACATGGGCTATGGTAATTTTATTATATAATTTATTTAAAAATGTATCAAGGAACTTAATATATCAAAAAAAATCTGCCACTGGTTTATGTCAGACATATAAGTCTGACAAGGCTAAAGACAAAAAGAAACTATTTTTAAAAGAAGGGAGATCAAATTTAAAAAAATATGGTAGACTGTGCTCTAATTTGAGTTCATTAGCTTTTATACAAAACTAATATTTGGAAGCATTCTAATAGTTTTTTATATTGCAATTTATCCTCATTAACGTTTCGAGACGACACTCCGAACAATATATAATTTGAAACGTGCCTTCCAAAGATAGACAACTTGGAATAATATTTAAATAAATATCTAAGAAATTTTATTAATAAATTTATAGAAGCATTCTAGAAGCTCTAAATCATCTCATTAATTTATATTTTTAAATAGACTTTAAATCCAATTGTCAAAGCTATTTCAATACCCCAACCGTCAGTAAATATTTTCATTTTACAGATATATGTTTGTCAAATATTTCGACAATGGCATTGTGCTAATATAATATAATAGAGACATCATCGATTTTTATATTCCATTAAATAATGATTCATTGCCATAATAGAAAATTGATTTCCAAAAATTTCTTCATGGTTCTATTTGCGTTAACAATTGGCGCATGCCGTTTGCAAACAGTTTGCTAACTGTATTGGAGAAGACGAGATGCATACGAAATGATTTTGGAGACGATTTAAATGATATCGGGAATAGACAAAGAGCCAGCGACTGTGGAAAATAAATTTGAGGATGTGGTTGATCAGATCACTTCGCCGAAATAGCTCAGTAAGTTGAGAGACCCACTACTGTGGACCCAAATTTTTATTTCGTGGACCCCAAAATTCATTTTTAGCTCTCTTATTTTCCCTAAATCTTGTCATGAACCCCTCCTGAGGGTCTATGAGGACCACTTTTGAAATCATTGGTAAATTGAAAAATACAGGGAAACACGTTATAAATATATTGTGGAAAAGCAGATTATAGCAGTGTTGTGGTAGTCGTCAATTAGAAATTCATCTAATGGAATAAATGACAGTTTCGTCGGCAGATCGACCGTATGGTAGGTAATTCGACCTACCATCATCCTTATACTCTGCATATGGTTCTGAATATAAATCACGTGGTAAATTTCCTGAACCTCGATGTCTTAGTAAACTTTGAAGACTCAGCCACGATCTACTTATTAATTTTCATTTCTACAATATTTTGGGTAAACAGATGGCGCTCTGTATGAATATGTTTATAATGCGCTCTGTATGAAATGATTAAAATAATCTTGTCGACTCCAGTAGCCCTTTGGGTCATACATCGGATTCTCGGATCGGATGTGATTCGAAGGAAAGCGTATTAAAAAGTCATCATCTTGACCAGATGCAGTTCCCAAGTTTAATGCATCAAAATACGATTTGGTGAGTTAATGGACAAGGAGAGGTTGAATTGCGACTCCAATGAGCCATTTGATAGTAAATTCAATTCATGACCCAAGGTCTATCTCTGAATTAATTTTTGTGTCAGCAATAAACACTGAGGTCTGGGTATACGAAATGGGTATACCAACAGAAGTCCGGTGTCAGTAGAGTAAATGGGTTAACTCGCACTGACCCGAGGACTGGACGCACCTTATAAGTAGTCACCAGTGATTATGGTGCTGCATCAAGGTCTAGATTTTTTAAAATTTCCGATTCATGCTCCTTCTCTGTCTTCATCACACCAGTGTGAAAATCACACGGGGATCACCAGTGTGAAAATAGTTATGAATATAAAAATATAAAATCCATTGGATGAAAATATAAACAATTTATAAATTAAGAAAATTTTATAATATAAAAATGACAAATCATTTTGTTTTTCCTCAATGTCTAGTCTGCTTGATTCCCCACAACTCTAATGAATCTTTTATTACTCTGGTGAGACATTTTCTCAAATTCAAATCATCATTACAATTAGAAATGTGATCGATTACCGGAAGCAATTTGTGAAATAGAAAGCTATCTGGAGTTATAAAAACTAACTGAATTCCGAATTTACAATCAGTTGTAATAAAACACGAGAGATCATAAAATTTGCAAAAATCAAAATACACGATTATGCAAATAATAACCAGGTATTTACCAGAATCGAAATATCTTCATTAATATGCAAATATTTATTTATATATATGAAGATTTTTATTATCTAACAGAAGCACTTCTGAATTTTCTGACATGTGAAAAACTGAGATATTGTTGATACAACAAATTTGTTTATCAATTGCAAAATTATGCAAATTTCAATGGTTTTATTGGCTATTATGACTCTGTTCATTAACAATATTTTGGCCTATTAAACTTGTTGAAGTCGTTAGTATTTAAAATGTCAAATAATATTTAAAACTATGTGGAATTTTTTTTATAGATATTTTGATCACATTGCTATTAATGATAGAATAATAAACATTCTATGATAATTCGCGTCAATAATTTTATAGAAGTATACATTGAAGTATATTCTTTCTTTATTTATAATTTTTAATAATTAATTATGCAATATTTAGGTGCAATAATTAAAAGGTATGAAATGCATTATTGTTTCTCAATCATGAATATATATATAAAATTAGATTATATATAAACATTTGTGTATATGTCTATCTTTATGTCTATATTGCCGTAAAAATTTGGAAAAATGTTAGGTTTCTCCGGGAAGGTTTTCGCATATTTTCATGGAATCTTAGTGATTAAAGTTGACCACACCAAAGTTTTTACGTTATTTTTGGGGCCAATTTTATTTTATGTATTTTTACAGCTAGATTTTATTAAAATTGTTATTTTAAAAATTATATTTTACAAAGTACTAAATAATAAGGATTTAAAAATGTATTTGTTAAAAAGTTATAATTAGATATAAGGTATATAGGTAAATATATATATATATATATATATATATATTTGTATATTTTATACTATATTTGTACTTTTATACATAAAATTATAGAATAAAGATCTATATCACCATTCTATTCAAATTTAGCCAGAAAAGTATATCAATTCAAAAATTGAGTGATGCTTTATAAATATTTTCATTTCATATATAAAGTAATTATTAACAGATAGAAAGTATTTTAGTAATTCTATAATTAACGATTTTAGTATAAAGCTATTAAGCTATCCGATTTTATTAATATTTTTACTATCATAAAAAAATACTTTTTATGAATTACTATTTGAAAAAATTACTATTAATATGTATTTCAATTTATTTTGAAAATTAGAGGAACTTGGATATTGTGAAATCATTCATTTAGGGCAACAAATATTTATAATAAGTTTAAAAGTTAAATAATAGATAATTGAGAATTGGAATATAATCAATTAGAAAATTGAGTAATGTTATATAAATATTTTTCTTAATATATAAGGTAATTAAAGTTAGATCGAAGGTATTTTGGTAATTTTATCATTTTAGATCATCACGATTTTATTCATATTTTTACTATTCATATTGGAAAAATACTGTGTTTCAAATTATTTAAAAAATTACCGGTAGGTGTATATTGTGAAGTCACTAATTTTATAAAGCAACGAATAGTTATTATGATATTAATATTTAAAACGTTTGCGAACAGTAAAAGTTTCAGCAAAGTACAAAAACTGTCATATAATTAATGAATTAACTGTGATATCAGCAATTTGATTAAACACTTCGTTTATAAGGATAGGCAGATTCTCATACTTTATTATACGATGAATGCAATAACATCCACGCCAAGTACTACGCTTCTATTTTAGGCAATGTGCTTGGTGACTACGAGAAAAGATAAGATAATTCGAAATTACCTAAATATTCAGTTAGTCATTACCTTGACAGGTATATCACAAAAAACGCAAAGTTATATAAAATTCAATTCAAAATAACTGACTTTAAAATTTGAATGCTATAGCATTCATATCATTCTGCATCACAATAAAAATAAATGCTATAGCTATTGCTAATGACAATCTATCATGGTTTCATTAATATTTACGTCTACATCACTAATAAATCATATATTTTATCACACAACACCCTCATAACTCCAGTGCAAATAATAATCTAACAAATTAATTACGAAATTGAATTTTGCGTCACTGCATAACTTTATCGAATGCCACTGGCTGCGACTGGCTCTCATATGAACGCATGCACACCATATGCAATTTGACATCTAACAATACAAAATAAATTAAAAAATAAAATTAACGACACTAACTTGCATAGAACTTTCCAAAAACATCCAAAACTGCTACCATTCGGTACTTCGCAGGCATAGGAAACTGTCATTTTGAATAGAATATATAATTATAAAATAACCACTAAAAATATCACAGCTTGTTAAGGGATGGAACCACTAAATGATCATATGACACATTAATTTTTCTCAACACTTCACAGGGCGTAGGGGGATTAGAATTAGATTAGTCAGGGGTGGAGAACGTAACAACATAGTATGTTTATTATAATTACTTAATCCAATTAATTACGGCACTAAGTTAAACTATGGCATTTTAATTATTTATTTTGTTATTTATTTCGGTAACGGCGGCGCTGAAGTATCTTCTTTCGTTACTTTTGGTGTACTGAAACACTAGCCTGAATGTGTGTTCCAGCACGGAGGTTCAGGTGGTCTGTTCTGTTCCCCCGCCCGGCTCGGCGATCAGACACTTGCACGTTGTACTACAAATAATAGCTGCGGAACACCTGAGTTTTGCAGTGGCGTAGAGGATTGATAATGCGACATATTATCAGATTATTTGATTTTATAATATCTTTATTTTATAATATCAACTTTGATCATGCTTTTCGTACTTTACGCATCTGGCATTTGATCGTCACGTGAGTATTTATTCGTAATTCAAATGCGGAATAACCGAGATTCACAGGGGGCGTACACTACATTATAATAAAAAATTCAATTTCAAATTTAATAATTAGATTATAAATTACTAGATCAGATATATAAATTACTTGTTTAAACATTCATCTAATTTAATTCTTTAACTAGTCAAATAATTTTCCTGCAGTTATTTACTGTTAGCTTAGAATTTGATATAATTAATTATTTATTTAACTAGTGGGGCGCATGGCATCGTGCCTTAAGGCAAATTGCTAGAACTTTTCGTACCAAAAATTATTTAGTTTAAAAAGATTAACATTTTTGAAAAAAATTTACTTCGAAAAAATTATATTTTGTAGGAACTATAATTTTTTTATTTTTTTTTTTTTTTTTGGAAAAAAGACTTTTTGGAAAAAATGTTTTCTTTATTTTGAAATATTTTGGAAGTTCTGAACTTTTTTTCAAAGCGATCGTACTGCTTTAACTGCATAAAGACGAAATATCAAAGCGCGTAAGCGCCGCGTCGCCGTCTAACGCATAATCATTAGTACGAAACCCATAGGAATGTAAACAAAATTCATACTTATTGTTAAAATCTCTAAAATATCTGATAATTTTATGTGCCTATGTCTAATGATCATTTTTGACGGTCAAATGGCATTTTTTTTGCTTTATTCATTAGATCTCCGAAACCGCTAGACCTGCCTTGATTAAAATTTAATCAGTTGTTCATCTCGTCGAACCTGAGTTTTGCAGTGACGTAGGAGATTTATAACACAACTCTTTATTAAATTCTATTATTTACTGATTTGTTTAAAAAATTAGAAGCTAAGGTTGCAGTGGCGAACGAAAAAATATCTACAGACTTGATGATTTGATACTTAAACTATTGGTGCATGGCATCTTGCCTTGAAACAAATTGCAGGACATCCCGTACCATTTTTTTTAAAAAAAATTTTTTTTTTTGGAAAATGTAGAATTTTTTTTTCAGTACAATGAATTTTGATATATTTTGTTATAGAGACAAAATATAGAAGCGCGCAAGTGACGCATTACAGTATTAAACATTGTACATATTGGTACGGAACCCATAAAAATGTAGACATTTGTACTTATTTTTAAAATCTCTTTGAAATATGTGTTAATTGAATGTGTATATAGTTAATAATCATTTTTGACTGGCAATTTTTGAAATAAAAATTTATATTACTTTTTTCATTACATCTCTAAAACCACTGGACTTACCTTCAAAAGATATAACTCAAAAATCGTTTCTCAACAACTGAACTGACATTTTTGCATTTTTTATTACGTATCAACTATTGTTAAAAGCTAATGAGCATGTATCACCATCAATAAGAATCGAATGCTTTTTGAATCATTCAAATTGTATGAACCGTGCTCCCGAATCGTGAACGAAATTTTTTTTCTGTTATAATTTATTTTTGTTAATCAAGACTTCAATGTTTCATTTAAAAATGTATTCGCACACGCATACATACATTTTTCTAAACTATGCCAAAATGCTCTGAAGGTCTTAAAACCTAAAGGTATGCAAAAAAAATTTTCATTTTTTGCAATTTATGTAACTTACCCTACGAAAAAGTTAATAATTTGATATTTAAAATATTTCTTTAAAATTTATCCTTTACTGCGTTAAACATTGTCTGAGTCGTTATTTACGTTAATAAATATTTAAAACAAAAATGACTAAACTTAAAATATTGAAATAGTAAAACTTCATTACTTTGCAAAACAGGACATTGTTGCAGCAATCGTGATTTTTACAAATACAAAATGATTTTAAAAGGTTTGTCTATTGCTGCATATTTTCATGGTACTGTTTACTTGTTCACTCATTATTTTGGTTTAGTTCATTCATCTAAGTTCATTGATCAATTCGTTCATTCATATATTTTTTGATTTACTATAGTTATTTCTTATATTACCTGACAATACATTTACTAATTTAATTATTTATTTACCGTCTCATTCATTCATTATGTATTCACTCATTTATTCACTTATTCACATAACTTATTCATCGAACAGCCAAAATATTATATTTTAATAGGTAAGAAACTAAATTTTTTATTATTTATTAATTAGTCATCACACTCGTTAATGATTATTCAATAATATTTTTATTATCAAACTAAATGATCTAAATGATAAAGAATACCCAAAAAATACGTTATATAAAATTCATTAGTTTAATTGTTAGGATGTTCAAATAAAGCGTATCACCAGATGTCAGTTTTATTTTTAAGCATCTGATACACTATTATTTACCCAAAGAATTTCGTCCACTATTTTTCCTTCCAAAAGAATTTTACTAATATTTTCAATATGTGCAAAAACAATATATAACTGAGAACGTGTACTATGGCAAATAATTCGCATTTGTTTATTACAAAATACGGATAAATGGCGCATGTAGTCCATATGTACGAAAACGATTAACACATGTGCGACACTTCTAATTTTGTTTGCACATTGAAATTACTGTGTCAATAAAACAATAGATCGATAATTCTAATCACAAACTTTGCAATCCTTGGTGTAAGTCGACACTGTTCAAGGTAAGAATTTAGCACAAGACAAAAATTCCGCAATTAGAATGGACACATGGTATGTTGTAAAACATAACTTAAATTAGTTGGATAGATAATAATAATTTTTGCGTAACTTTCAGTCCTTGTTTGTAAAATTTTACGTAGCTATTGAAGATACGTAAAAATAAAACCATCCTCAATCACAATATCTAAAATCACGAATCCATAAAATCAAAATATATGTTTTTATATCATGCTATCCAAAAGTACGCCAAATCCACATCTAACTCGAAATCATGCTTAGATCCAGGTTGCCGGTAAGGCCCGCTAAAATTCATATTCATATTTGTTTGCTCCTGCTTCACAAATATATATCTAAACTTTTCTACCAAGCAGCAATAAAATAATCTTACAAGCCTAGGAACTAGGCTAGTAATAAAAAAATCTCCTTTTGTTCGTATCCTCTTGAACCGTTAGCATATTACAAATAAATACAAATTATATACTAAACTAATCATTTTTAATCAATTTGATTAGTCTGATATAGCCTTTTTAGCAATAAAGTATATCAGGTGCTTAGAAATATATAGTGTCTGCGTTCAATGTAACTACTTACTTTTGCAAAAAACATTGCTTCTTCATAAAATGGTCCTTCGAGCCGGATCATTTTATGAACATGCCCGACTACATTAGATCCTTAAAATTTATCGAGAAATAATTAGTTTAGCATATATTGCAATGATTTGCATGATATTAGTTTAGAATATAAATTGTATCTTTTGTGAAATATTTACGGTTCAAAGGATACATAAAAAAAATTCATAACCAGCTTAGTACCTAGGGTAGTAAAATTATTTTAATGCTGCCAGGTAGGAAAGTTTAGATATCTAATATTTGTGAAGCTTGTACAAACAAATATAAATATCAGTTTTATCAGACCTTACCAGGTCATTTGTCGCTTAACTTGGATCTTGGAGTATGATTGCAGGTTGGGTAGCAGGATTTCAGGTAGAAAAGTTCAGCTACATAATATTTGTGAAGCATATGCAAACAATATGTTACAATATTTGATGCATTATATTAAATATTGTTAAATTATGCATTAAATAATGCTTCAAATTAATTAAAAAAAAAATTAAATTATTAATTAACCAAAATAGCAGTGTGATATTTACATTGCTGCTTTACAATAGGGGCAGTCAAAGCTAGTGCCCAGAGCGGCAAATTTTTTAGGGCGGCAAAATTTAGAAAATAAAAAAAATTATATCTATACATAGAACAAGTATATAATACGTGATAATTATTTTTGCAATCAAATAGTTATTTTAATTTCAGAAAAATGAGACATAAAAAATTAGGTGGCATTTTTGTCAGTGCTCCAGGGCGCCAAATTTTTCAATCCATCCCTGGACACTCAAGTAATTTATCGCACAATGGTAAAAAAACTTCACAATTGATGTGCTTGTTTTAAAAATATTAAAAAATAAAATTAATGTGAAATAATCTACTACACTGGCAAATCCAATATAGCTACTGTTACCCAATGCCCAAGTAAGCACAATAGAATAGATGAATCGAAAATGCTATCAAAGTGAACGCAATAGTGTAAACGCCTGTTTCCCGGTTCTTGTCAACTCGAATGTTATGCAAAATACCGATGTGCGAACATTTATTATGACATGCACAAGTATTTGTTGTTATAATAGAGATATTAACATCACTGCAATTTTATACCAGTCATAAAGTCCATGAGATATATCGATCAATTCATCAAAAACCATCTCCGCAGTTTAACTAATTGGACGATTCTACTTAAATTTTTAGGATAGACATAGGACATAGGAAATAAAAACTATTAAATATCATCTGTAATTTTTTTTGAATATCTACACTTATTCCATATGAAACACCAGTAAATTTTTGGTAGTATTTAAAATGTCTAAATCAAATGACACTCCAGTGATTGGACGTTCAGGTTTGATGGTACCAAATTGAATTTCTTCAGAATATATAAATAATTTCTCAGGTTGTTTTATATCAATAATAAGTGGAGGAAGTTTTCTTATAGTGCTCAACCACAATCATTTGCGTTTCAATGTCAATATTTCTATTATTTTTTTATTCCAAGAAGGCTAATCATACATATAGGCAATTAAATTATTTATCAGCAACGATTCTTTATAATGATATCATTAATCATGTTAAAAATAGATTGCTTTTCAATTTATAATTTATAATAGGAATACAAATAT